TACGTACAACAATAAAACAGTGCATTGACATAAAAAAGGAAATTTACTTTTGGTACTTAAGTACTTTTAAAAGCAAGTACTTCTGTACTTTTACTTAAGTAAAAATCTGTCTTTACAACTTTTACTTGTAATGGAGTAATATTTGACCAGCAGTATCTGTACTTTCACTCAAGTAATGGAGTTGAGTACTTTGTCCGCCTCTGGTTGTGTTTAACTTTTGCCGCTTGTGTTTAGCATTTTGCAGCACAAATGCATCACAGTGTGATAAGTGTTTAAGTGAATGAGAATGTGTTTAGAATTTTGCAAAGAGATAGAGCCTAACTGCCTGAACATGTTTAAGGTTTAGCAAAAAGAGTGCTTTATTCGACAAATTGGTTTAAGCTAGTGAGAATTTGGTTCAGAGATTGGGGTTTAGTGTTTTAGCAATTCAGATTATAATAAATTCAACTATAATAAATAATATAAGAGATCACTTCGTCAAATCCCTTCTTTTTCCTTATACCTTGTGAATATCATATTTTTATACCGCTTTTTGAATCCAGCATACTTGAACATTGCTTGAGCACTGAACTTAATCCGTTCCACAGCTTCACTCCACATATAGAAATACAAAAGCTTTTTAATATTGTACGAACACAAAGATGTTTTAAGTTGCACTCCCACCTAAAACTGTATCTCCCTTCTCTATTACAAAACAATTTTTGAATGTTGCCAGGGAGTAGATTGTTTTTTGCTTTATACATTATTTGTGCTGTCTGAAACTGAACCAAATCAAGCAATTTCAATGTTTTTGAATTTCAATTTGTGTGATCTCTATAACCTGTGTTATGAATTATCCTTATGGCTCTTTTTTGCAGCACAAATAATGATGATAATCTACAATTATAAGTATTGCCCCAAACCTCCAAACAGTAATTTAAATATGGTAATATCAGTGAATGTGGTAATATCATAAAGAATGTGGAGTGATTTGAGGTCCAAAACATGCTTTGCTTTGTTTAGTACTGAAATACTCCTTGAAAGTTTATTGTGTACATGTTCTATATGAGATTTCAGCTCATTTTATTGTCAATTATTACCCCAAGAAACTTATTTTCACTAACCCTTTCTATATCTACGCCATCTATCTGTATCTGGACCTGCTTACTCTTTTTACAGTTACCAAATAACATCCATTTAGTTTTATTAATATTTAATGATAATTTATTTTTATTGAACAACCTTTTTAATTTACACATCTCTGAACTAGTGTTCTCCAGTAACTCCGCCAGTCCGTTTTGATACTTTGCATATATCAGTTATGTAAAGCAAAAATAATTTTGGACCAAAAACTGACCCCAGGGGGATGCCACAAGCAATGTTCACACATGAAGATGAATGTTCCCCCAACTTCACAAATTGTTTCCTGTCTCTTAAATAACTTGTCACCCAGTGCAATACTACCCCCCTGATCCCATACCATTCCAATTTATTGATGTTATGATTAATTGTATCACAGGGCACAGGCTTTTTTTAAGATCTATGAAAACTCCAACTGCATACTGCTAATGGTCTATAGCATTTGTAATTTCTTCAATTGAGTCAATTAATGCCATTGATGTTGAACTGTTTGATCTGAACCCGTATTGACTTTCAGAAAGTAATTTATGTTTATCTAAAATTTTATCTAATCTATTAATAAATAGTTTTTCTAGAAGTTTGGAAAATTGTGGCAGTAGAGAGAGACAGGCCTGTAATTTGTGAAGTTGTGTCTCTCCCCATTGTTATACAGCAGCTAACTTAATAAGCTATTTTCATATTATTTGGGAATTTTCCAGTTTGAAATGATTCATTAAATCACCTTTTTCACAATTTTCATATCCACTTCATTGCAATCAGTAGATGTTTTATATTTCCGTTTGTTTACAATATGTATTATTTCGTTTTCCTACCCCACTGTAAAGAACATTGAGTTGGGATTCCTTTCTATTAAATTATCATTCCAATCTTCAGATGACTATGGATCAGGAATTTCTTCTGCCAGTTTTGGTCCAACACTCACAAAAAAATTATTAAAACTATTAACCACATCACCCATATTGTCCTTTATAATATTATTATCAGAAAAATACTGAGGATGACTTCGCTGTCCAAAACTATTTCTAATAATACTATTTAATATATTCCATGTTCCTTTAATATAATTTTTATTATTATTCAATATTTTACTATAATATTCCTTTCTACATACCCGTATGATTTTCTGCCTCTTTAGTTCTTTGTTTTAATTCTCTATAGACTGTATTTTTCTTTTTACAGGCATTTTCTAATACCTTTGTGATCCATGGTCGATCCATGAATTTTTCTACAGTATTGTATAATTGGACCGTTGTTATCATATAATGATGTAAATATTCTTAAAATTTTGTTATATCAACAACATCACTTTCTTTATATTCACTTCCCCAATTTTGTGCTAGTAAGTCACTCTTAAATGCATTTATGGTTTCCTCTGTCCTCACTCGTCTATAATTCTGTTTTTCATTTGTCTGTTTACTCTTGTAGTTATCAAACTGTAAAA